TCGCTGGCCTTACGCGTCTCGACATGGTCCGGAACAGTGACATCCGGAAGAGCCTTGGTATACAGCCTTTCCTTCTCCAGATTCAGAAATCGCAGCTGCGATGGTTTGGGCATGTGTTGCGAATGCCTCCAGAAAAGAAGGCTAGGCAATTCTTTCTAACGAAACCGACCGGCAGAAGGCCCAGGGGACGGCCAAGATTAACCTGGTGCAAACATATGGAAGGAGTCTCTTTCAGACTTAATCAGCGGTCAGTTACAAATACTGTCTTCACAGACTGACAATCTAACTTTGGATTCACTACTATCGAAGTAGTACTGTATTCATACTCGAAGACTTCAGACAAACTCACAGTTCATTATTGGGAAAGTCGTTTCTTTCAGCAATCCTACCAGCTTTATCATATTGGCCTCCCATCATAGTCAACGAAAACAGAACCACAACAATCATCATCATCAAAAACCTTAACCTGGCCTTACCTTGGCAGGCCACCTTGCAGCTACAGGTTTATTATGAACCAGAGAGCCAAAAAGCTGTATGCGATCAACACTTAAATCAACTACGTTTACACCATTCACAGTCAATAAACTATTCATCTTCGATGTCACCTGTATACTCAACGAAATAAGGAAACGATTTATGCCAATACCCATCCATTAATTTCATGTTGTTAACAATTTCGATCGTTAGGGACGAAAATATTCACAATCACAATCTGGTCACTCAAATCTCCAGATGTTTTACAAGGACGTTTCTCATGATGATAGGGTCTCATAAGTCCAGCCTTAACCAGCCTTAAGCTATATGCAAGAAAGACAACAAACAAACAACCCTACTTCACTGAGGTCTGCAGATTTACGTATAGTCCTCACACGTCGATCAAAACAGCACCGAAAAAGGCATCCGCCGCTTTCCACACAGAAACTCGTTCAAGCCAAAATCAACTAGCGAAAAGTCAGCAAGTGACACAAGAACTGTCCTCAATAGTATTCTTCAAAAACGAGCTACGGCATCAAGTACAACTGAAACTGGGGCATCAGCTGACAATGGAGATAAACGTTACCCATCGGAAACAAACTTTAGATATAACCTGAGATGCGTTCCAGAAACATAGCATCAAAATTCCAATGTCTACTTCGATCATAAAAATGAATCTTCGAGAAGTCGCTAAAAATAGCAGTCACCAAATACATATACTACAAGTACTCTACCTCGCGCTTTCAACGTAATCTTCAACAATGACTAAAAACATAACACGTCAGTGCTTCAATCACCACAGCAAGACAATAAACTTTCAGTGAATAACTCAAGGTTTACAAGCGTGATTCACCTAAGGAATAGGGAAAATGATAGAAAAAGAAGACTGAGTGATATATTTGAATTCTATTGAAAATGTTCGCTATTCATACAGAAGCCCGTTGTACTGCACGTATTGCACAGAATACAGTCATATAATAACACTTCATAACGTTCAATTATACACTATATATCCTCCATATATTACACATCTTTAGTAATTACTAGATTATAGGCTAATCAGCTATAAACCTACACAAATTATACATACATTATCAACATGCCGTATCGAAAACAAATGTGACGCGTTGTGTTAACAATGTATGTGCGGTATTCAATAACACAATGCATACAGAGCGATGTATATACTTGCAACTACATGTTCTTGTGAACTAACCAAGAACTTTATAATATAAACTGCACTAAAGCACTTATGTTCGTCTTTAAAGACATTCGTTGAATTCTACATGGGGTATGGGGCAAAGGACATCAAAATCACGGTCTTCGATAGAATTAGTCTACATATAATTCATATTTATTATAATTCTGATGATTCGCAGAGTCACATTATCTTCACTGGAACGAAAATCTAGGCATTCGGCTATAAAATTGCTAGTCACCTTCTATACAAATACGAGATCAGAGGAAAAAATCACTAGTCAGGCAGTTTCGATGACCCCTTATACTTCAGGGTCGTGGTCGCAGACGCGCCAGACGGTGTTTTTAACATTCCCCATGCTACGTCTGCTTTTGAACTTCAGTGGGCTGACACACCTGACCAGATAATTCCACGCTGTCGCAGAGGACCTTCTGCTGGCCGCTGTGACAAACAGTAACTGTTTTGCCTTCCTTTCGGAAAGAAGTATTCATACAGGACGTATCCAAGCTATCGCAATTGTGACATGTCAGTCTGGACAAGCAGCGGCTGTTCACCAAGGCTCCCGTGGATGTGCGTATTTCGGACCATGTCGAGATGCGTGAGGCCAGCGACTCATCTCATAAAGCCCATTTCAACCGCTTGTACCCGGGTTCGAAGTTTTTCAGTCATGGACCACGACTCATGACCGTAAGAAAGCATGGGGATAAAGATCGACTTAAACACAGAGAGCTGAGTTTTCATTCAGACTGAGCTCTGCGTTAGTCACAACGGATCGGGCCAGTTCAAGCAGAACGCCACTGGCAACAACATTTTAAGCACTATACATAATCGTAAAGTTTTGGAGAATAACTCTTTAAACTAGACGGGGTTCAATCACACTATAGTCAACTGATCAACCTTCGTCGATCTACAGATGGATGAAGGGCCTCTCCAACACTTCGCACTAGGCTTCAGTTTTCTGCCATTTTCATCAATCTTGACCAGTGAGCTTCTTCAGCTCATCCAACCATCGACTTGGAGGTCTTCCAACGCGTCGTTTACTCTCTGGTGCAGCGATGGTCGTTTCTTGTTGCTACAACTCCAGCCCGCTGTCACCTAAACCTCTGCAGTCAAGCAACGACATCGCACAAATTCGTTTCTTCTCTCACTCATTCATTCGTTTTCCCATCCTTATCCCTCATTTCCAACATACATATACCGATGTTGTGCTGCGTACTTTCCAGTGTATGAATAATCTTCTGGCTCACACATAGATTAGCAGAATCAGTATAAACTGATCGAAAACTTCCTATTTACGGAAGAACACAGGTATTT